TGAAATTATTGTTGTTGTTATGTGCTGTGGAGCTGAGGATAACCCATAGTGACCCTATAAACAATGGCCCTGAACCCTGCCCTCTCCTGAACCAACCTCTCTATCTCTGACACACCTGCCCCGTGCCACAGTCACTGTGTCAACCTATCTCATCTGGGGCCTACTTCTCCTACACTGACCTTCCACCTTCTCCAAGGACTGGTCTCTCCTGGCCATGTGCCCAATGTATATGAGATGGAGTTTAAAAATCCTTGCCTCCAAGGACCAAACTGGTGTCAACCTCTCCAGGACTGACCTTTTTCTTCTCTTGGCAGTCAATAGTATGTTCAGTACTCTTCTCCAGTACTACAACTTAAAGACATGGATTCTTCTGTCATCCTTATTCACTGTCCAGCTCTCGGATGCACAGGAAGCCATTCAGATGATCACGGCCTGAATCAGGCTCACCTTAGTCTCTAGACTAATACTGTTGCTCTTCTGTGCTCTGGAGAGGTCCTTGATACAAGCTTTTCCTAATGCAATTAATCTTTTGAACTCCTAACTGCTGGTGCCAAGAGTGTAGACCGTGAAAATCCAAGATGAAATTGTTAACAACCTCGATCTTTTCTCTATCATGATGTTGCCACTTGGCCTGGTGGTAAGGATCTTTGTTTTCTTGATGTTGACATGAAATCTATATGAAGGCTGCTGCTCTTATTTCACAGATGTGGAAACTGAGGCACATAGCAATTGAGCAACTTTCCCAGGGTTGAGTGAGAGGTGGAGCTGGGATTGCATTCAGGCCTTTTGGCTCTAAGTATACAAAATTTCTGCTTGTTTGCATAGAATATGGCATCCATTTCTTCCCACAACCTTGCCTTCTCGGTGTGGTCACCTTGAAAAATATGGAAACTGAGACCGAGAGGAGGAACTTGTGTTAGATCACATAATGAGTGAGTCAGAGAGCTAGAATTTTGATCCAAGTCTGTATAATTCTAATTTTTCCCCCAGTAAACCAGTTGCTTTTGTTATTATTGACCATCTGGATATTCTATGAAGCACCCAGTGCTTCCCTTACACCCAACCTAGAGACCTTTGCCTTGGCTCTCACTAGCTTTCCCTCTCCTGACAGCACAGGGGTTACCATGGCCCTGTAAAGTGTGCTCTGTGTGTGAAGAACCCTAGAATCCCTTACCCAAGTGGACCAGGGCTCATTCTCCTGAGTCGTCTTCCTAAGGGATAGAAAGTGTGCAGTTGTTTGAGAGGGTGAGTGAACCCTTGTTCATTTGTTTATAGATTGTCCATATGTCTGCTCAAGGAACCCCTGTGGCAGAAGACATAGAAGAGGACAAGAGGAGAATGAGGGAAACAATGGGTTAGGGCTGGCAATACAAGCCAGCAATGCCTCCTCTGCCATATTATAGGCTCAAACTCTCAAGAAATTTGTCATGTTTCTATTTGGAACCTTCCAGGCCATGATAAAGTTGTATTTGCCAGAGAAGGATGGACACGTTTTCTTGAAAGCTTTGTCACTTGCCAAGTATTTAGACATATGGGACATTGGTCTGCATTTGTTCTTTTTGCCTCAGTTCCTTCAAATATTAGGAAAAAAACCTGTTATGGTGACTAGAGTTTGCCAACACTACATGATTAAATGCTTAAACTACAGGAAAAGTTCCCCTTTGGACAAGCTGGTCATACCCACATTTTCTAAAAAACCATCCATAAGAGGGAAAAAAGACATAAATTAAACCTTTATTTTGAGTCCGACTGACAGCTCTTGTGCCACTAAATCCCAGTTCATTGACAGCTAAACACCTGTCAGCATTGTAGGAAAAATGCCACTAATATGGAGCTGTGAGCCTGTGATTTAGGAAGTCTTGGGACGAGTGAGTTTGGAAACAGAGACTGAAGCTTAGTCAGTTTACAGAAAGGATTCTTTCTTTCACAAATGGAAGATTGCAGGGGAAAATATTTGGCAATATTCATACTTCATAGAAAAGAGTAGGAGAAGAAATATAGGAGAAGATTCCAGAAGCTTCCCGCTAATGTAGTGCTTCTATGTAATTGGTAAGAAGCCAGCCACGTGGCCACACCTAATTGCAAGAGAGAATTGGGAAATCCAGTTTTATGTGCCCATATATTAACTTGTTTATTTTGGAAGGAGAGAATGGATATTGGAGGAGCACAGATCCATTGCTGTCCCAAAGAAGGTTTAAGAGAATTTCTAACACAGGGCCCAGGTCCTGCAAATGCTAAGAGCTATTAATTTCGTTATATCAACAATCACAAAACCAAATGGAAACTCTTATGACTCTGGTTTAGTGTGTGGAAGAATATCAGAACTTGGGAGTATCCTAATTATAGCCACAAATTTTCAGGGTTTGACAAAAGCATAGATTTGGGATTGGAAGGTTTGGGTTGAAGTCCATTAGACAAAGTATTATGTTTCTGCATTTTGATTTCTTTATCTGCATGACAGAGAATTCAGGGGATGCCGTTCATAGGGAACTGAATTGTTAACCCAAAGGTGGGGCCTCACTCGTGGTTCAAAACCACTAGCGGCTCCAAAGAAAAAAAGCTGGGTAATATCCTCTCATACCGTTCACAGCCTCTGAAAGCCTGCCGGAGGGTCAGCTAAGAGTCAGAGGCGACTCCAAGGCAGCAAGAATTCTTTTATCTGCAGGAAGATGATGGTCACGATGTTTCATGGGAAAGGCAGTAGGAAAGAGCTTCTAGCACTGTTTCTGGAATAGCGTCAACACTCAGTATGTGCTCCCCCCACCCCCGCTTCAGTCCACCATCTCTTCATTTAGTCACTCATTCAACAGATGCTTGTTGAACTAAACCCTATGCTTGGTGTCGGTGATAGAATGATGACTTAGAGAGATTGTGCCTGACTTCAAGGAACTGTGTCCGAGTTTAGGCATGAAATGAGGCTGTACAGATCATGAATTATATAGTTGTAACTAGTATGATAAAAGGACAGTATGAAAAGGAGATCCATATGAGAAGAGAGAATAAAGAGGCCGTGATTAGGGTGAATATAGAGAAACATGGACAAGTAGGTGGATTTGAGAAATAATTCAACCAGAATCAACAGGGATACGGAAGGAGAAAGAACTGTACCTTAGCTTTCTAGCGCTGCCATAGCAGAGACACCACAAGTGGGAACAGAAATGTATTTTCTTACAGTAAATCCAAGTTCAAGGCTTAGTTTCTTGTCTATTTCAGTAGATGCATCTGCCTTTTTTGTTTTGTTTTGTTTTCTTCTCCTCACTTTGTGGGTTTCTGTGTCTATTCTTCTCTTTTTGTAAAAGTGATTAGGATTAGGGTTTGGCTTGCTCAGGTGTGACTTCATTAGCATGCCAAAAGACAACCTTTACTTCCAAAGAGAATTCTATTCACAGGTTTGTTGTTGTTGTTTTTAGGTACTGTCAGTCCAGTCAAGTACAATTCATAGTGACCCTATGAATAAAAGATCTGAATCCTGTTCTATCAGGTGCCATCCTCACACTTCCTGACACACAAGAGCGCATTACACCAGTCACTGTGTCAATCCATCTTGTTGAGAGTCTTTCTCTCCTTCACTGACTCTCCACCCTTCCCAGCATCACGTCCCTCTCCAAGGAATAGCCTCTCTTAGCAACATGTCCAAAGTATGTGAGGCAAAGTCTCGTCATTCTTGCCTGCAAAGAGCACTCTGGCTGCACTTTCTCTAAGACATAGGTATTTGTTCTCTTGGCTGTCCATGGGATACCCAGTGCTCTTTTGGTGTGTATATTAATTGTGTTTGGAGAGAAGACTGTTCTAAGTGGTAAAGCATTTGTCTGTCAGTTTGCTGTACTGAGATAACTTGAGGTTGCTGTGATAATGAAATCTGTGCCACTGAGGTGTCAAATGCCATAAAGGTCACCCATGGTGGACAGGTTTTGGTGGAGCTTCCTGATTAAGACAGACTAGGAGGCAGAAGGGCCCATCCACTTTCTAAATTACAGGCCTTTGAAAACCCTATGAGCACTAAAGAAAGAGGACATTTACAGGTAGAGAGGTCAAAATATTTTTTTTTTATGGCTGCGAGTGCACAGCTCATGCATAACAAATGGACAAGATTGAGGTTTTGGTTTTTGCTTTAAGTGATGGGTCCCATTTACTGATAATGAGGAAAACAGAGGCAGGGTGTAAGGTAAAGTCAGTGGAAGATGGATGGATGGATGGAGGGAGGGAGGAAGGGAAGGTGGGATAGAGGGAGTGAGGGAGGGATGGATGGATGGATGGATGGATGGATGGATGGATGGATGGATGGATGGACAAAAAGAGAGTTAAAGTGATAATTCATTAGACAGATCGACAGAAAAATAGGTGGATGGATATTTTATCAAATCTTTGATGGAGCATATAAAGTATAACTCAATAAAATGGTTCATGATACCACACTACTTGTTTACAGCCTCACCCCCTCATTGCCTTCGAGTCAGAACCATCCATAGCTCACCCTCCAGTGGGTTTCCAGAAGCTACAAATTATGTGGAAGGAGTTTGCCCATCTTTCTGCCATGGAGCAACTAGTAGACTTGAACCTGTGTGCCTTGGGATTGACAGCACAACTCTAGCCACTCGGCTTCCGAAGCTCATTTGTATGACGTTTTAAAACTTTAAAAGCTTAAAAAAAAAAAAAAAAGAAAAAAAAACAACTTTAAAAGCTTAAAATAACTGTCAGAAAATATGTAGGACTGATATTAATACCTTCATTTTACAGAAGATAAAACTGAGAAACATGGAGGGAAGTGACTTGGCAGAGCCAGAACTTTCATCTCCAGATTTGTTCACCCTTCTCATGTTTCTTCCTTCAAGCACTGCCTGTGAATAATGAAGATCAAGGGCGATGAAGGAAGACAGAATGTGTCTGGGTGTCCACTTGTAGGGGTGAGGCCTTCGGAAGAAAGAATATATATATATATATAAAGTGTGAACCAGCCTATATATGTCCTTACTCAGTAAATTCCTTTCTCTCTTTCACAGGGCCAAATACTTTCATGGAAAAAGAGTGAATGGAGAGGTTGAGATCCGAGTGGAACAGGTAGGTGCACTCTGAGTCATCAACTTTCATGCCGGCCTCTCTATAATGAGGGGTGTTTACAGGAGCAAACTGATTGTCACTTAAATGGCCATCATGAGCTAGCATCGTTTAGAGAAGCCCTGGCCCAGGTCCTCTTTGTCCTTAACCCCAGAGTCTCATCAAACTCTAGGTTTATCTGTCCTATGGTTTTTATTCTAGCAGCAACGCTTTTCTTCAGGGGCAATCTCGAGTAGGATTCCTTTCTTAAAAATGGATCAAAGAGAGATGATGCTTTGATGGAAATATGAAGCGGTGAGGTGTTCCTCAAAAGTCTGTCTGTCCTACCATGCTGCGCATTCCTCTGTGGTTCCTGAGAACTCTTCTTGGGGCTAAAGATTTTCGTTTTGGAGCCTAATAGGTTGGAATTCTAGATCCCTGCTGTGGTAGATGTTGAGAAATTGACTTTATCTCTTTGTGCCTCGCATTTCCTGAATTGTTGGGATTAAGAGACTTAAAACCTCAAAAGAGATTAAGGCTCTGAGTACTGGATCTTGTTACTAGTGCTAATAGCAATGTGTACAGGATTATAATTTTATGGGGAAAGAAATACAAACTTCCTTAAGACCACATAGCAAGTCAATGGTAGAATAAGGAGAACAGTTTAGAATCTCCTTACCCCCGTGTCAAGGAATTCTCGCGTTCGATTAGTTACACTGGTTGAGGATTTATCTTCTGTCAAACCCTTTTCTGAGTCTTAACATAACATGTCACAAAGCAAGGACTCTGGAGTACGATTCTAGGTAAAAATCCCAATGTCATCTGTAGTGAGGGGTGACCTTGCCTGGGCATGCTTAAACTCTCTGTAGCTCAATTTCCTTACTGGTACAGTTGGGATAATAAGAGCATCAAACTCACAAGTTACTTTGAAGAACAAGTGAGTTAACCTGGGGAGGGTGGAATGCTTAGAACAGTGCCTAGCACAGACTGGGCACTTCGTAAATGTCACTTGGTCATCATCATCATCATCAAAGGTAGATAATTAATTAAACAGATGAAGTCCTGGGAGAAGATGAACTGAGGATTTCTATGAAAAATAAAGAAATCAAAATGAGTGGTTATGAGTGCTCTTCCACCAGCGTTCCTTGATGTCTGAGAGGAACAGAAAGACCTCCCGAGTATTAAACTGAGTTGGCTTAATATTAAAACGCCTACACTGTGAATTTAAATTTGATCCTGTGGCTTTCAAGTCAACCCAATGTCTATTGGTTTTCCTTCCATGGCGAAGAGAAGGCTATTTTTATTCACCTGACAAATATTTGCCAAGTGTCTGTGATGCTAGCTAGCTGGCTAATGTGTGGAGAATGAGGATGTAGGGGCAGAAGTCTTGTCTCCAGAGGTTTGCAGTCTTATGAGGAAGCAAGCAAGGTAAGTCTTTACAGAATGCCAGTATAGGTGGGGTCCAGGTTAGAGCGTTCCATGCTCAGCACTGTGAAGGAGGGACTTCAAATAGTGCCAGAGAGTCTCGGCAGGTAGAGATAATGGTCTGTGGCAAATGTGAGATTCAAGTATTTTGAGTGACAGCAAGGGTGTGAGGAAGTGCAGGGTGTCCAATGGTATGAAACAGGGATTGATTGTATCCAAGACATAACATACTCTCTCTCCTTGCCCCCAACCCATTCCTCCTCAGCTTCTCCTCTCAGCAGTATCTTTTCTTGCAAACACCCTGTGCAGGCTCTTGGATAATTCCTTCTCCTTCGGCCTCTATACCTATTGAGTTACCAAATCCTGTTGGCTTCATATCATGTGACTCGGTCGTCTCTCTGCTTCTTACCCCCAAGTAAACTCGCTGTATCTAGTGACCAAGTGATAAAGGAGCTGTGTTGCCATCATAAAGGCACATGGTTCAAAGCTATCGGCTGTTCCATAGGAGAAAGAAGGGCAGTCTCATCCAGTGTGATGAAAGGACTCTGGAAACCTGATGGAGAGTTGGCTATGCGTCGATTCCGACTCACTGGTCCACAACAAAAACATCCAGATCACAGCTCCCCAACACTACCTTTCCCATCTCCAGCCTGCTTTTCAAACTGAATCCAGAGGGATCTCTATTTAAAAAGCGAATTGGATTCTTTCAAGTCTTAGCTTTAAAACTTCTTCCTCAAAGACTCTTTCTTTGAGCACCTCCACTCAGACCTAAATCCTGTAACCTGATTATTCCCATTCATAGTGCCCCATCTTTGCCTTCTTACCCCTTACCTGCGTGTTTAATCCAGAGATGGAAGTATTTGATCTTTTCTGAATGAGTGTGCAAACCTTCCTTCTTGGATCTCACTCTGTTAAGGAGCACAAGGCTTGGCATATAGTGGAATGAAGCACATATTTGTGGAGTGAATAACTGATAGATTCCACAGATTCCAGCCTGCTCGTCAGTCTCCAAGGATGATAAATCACTACTCCTTTCTCTTCTCTCAAAAATCTGGATTTTCCGTAGACCATCTGGTAAATGCTTAGTTACCAGATGACTAGCCCAGCCTCATCCTATTTGTGGCAACCCCAAAGGCCTGCATTCATTTTCCTCCTTTTCTGTCATTGCTGCCCCCAGTCCAACTTGTGGGTAGAAAGTCTCTGAGGAGGAGCATCAGAGAGGATTGTCCTGAAAATGACTCCCCCAGGAATTCCGCTGACACTCGGACAGTCCAAAACACTCATTGCTATAGAGTCAGCACTGGCTGGTAGCTGACCCCTCCAGTGGTTTTCTGAGGCTGTAAATCACACAGGAGGAGATGGTCTGTTTATCTCCTGAGGAGCCGCTGGTGGATTCAAACTGCCGGAGAGGTGCCAACTCCCCACTGACTACACCACCAGACCCACTACGCTACCAGACCCACTATTGTTTATGGGGACCATCGTGTTGACTGCCATTTACAGTGACCCTATGAACAGCAGAGCAGAATGATGTTGCCCAGCTTCACCAACTCTGACATGCTTGAGTCTGGAATGACAGTCACTAGGGTTACAGATATCCTGGAAAATTTTGGCTCATTTATAGTCATCTTGACATCCAGCCATCCCTCTCTATGGAAGTTAGAAGATAAACAAGCCAGGAGGCCAATTAACACACTGGTAAGTACCCCTACACACACACAGCCAGGAAATAAAAAAAGTATTGCGATGGGAAAGTCTGCTGTTAGGGAGCTCTCCAGGGTACTGAAGAGCAATGGTGTCACTCTGAAGACTAAGGTGCGTCTGATACAGGCTATGGTCTTTGAAATCAATCCCTTGCTATGCATCAGAGAGTTGGACAATGACTAAGGAGGATAGAAGGAGAATTGATGCCTTTGAGCTGTGGTTCTGGAGAAGAGTACTGAATATACAGTGGACTGCCAAGAAAACAAACAGATTCATCCTGGAGAGGGTTAAACCAGGCTACTCCTTGGAGGCAAGGATTCTGGGGCTTCGTCTGACATACTTTGGACATGTTGTAAGAGGCATAGGTCCTTGGAGAGGGACATCATGCTTGGGAGGGTGGAAAGATGGCATAAGAGGATAAGACCCTCTCTGAGGTGGATTGATTCAGTGACTGGGGTAAAAGGGATGGGTGCGTCAGAGGCAGTGCGATTGACACAGGACAGAGTAGAGTTTAGGGCTGTTGTACATAGGGTCGCTGTGAGTCGCAAGTGACTCGATGGCACATAACAACAACAAGAACAACAACAACAACAACAACAACAACAACACACACACACACACACACACACACACACACACACACCCTCTTCCAAGATGTATTTTTCCAAACCCATGTTGGAATTTTACTTGCTTATCTTTGCCCACCTGTATCAATGGGTAGTTCATATAAGCAGCCCCCCAGGAATTTCACATGTTCTCTAGCCCTTGAGAAGCATCTTAGGGAGGAAGCCACTGTTTAGTCTGAGCTAGACTCACATTTTGGGAGCCTGTTTCCCAACTAAGTGCCAAATTAACCAGATAATTGCACTGTCTGGGTTTTGTTGTTCAGAGAGAACGAGTTGGTTATATTTGGCCCAGAGAAAGCCTCCACCCCTTCTCTCTACCATCCTGCCCCCCAACTCCATTCTCCCCAACACACACACACACACACACACACACACACACACACTTCAAAACCTGCTTGCTTCAGCTCTTCTAGAGCCAGGAATCAAGAAACCCTGGAGAGGTCAGTGAGTGGAGCTGCATCATTTTGTATTCCATTACCCAGAGTGTCCTGTTGACTTTGTTCACAGCAGGGTCCTAGAAAGCTCTGAAGGATCTGGCAAGGGTAGTTGGCATGGTAAAGTCTCCTATGCTTATCTTTGAGGCAAAAGGTCTTTCTCTCCACGGGTGCACGTCACCCCTTTGTGGGGTGAAGTAATGAGGTTGATGAATTGATTAATATTAAGGACACACAGTTCTGAGAGACTAGTGCACTAGGACTTAGTGAGATAGAAAGCCTTGCTTCGTTCTTTTCTCATTAAAAAACCCCTGAAATTACTATGTCTCCCTTTCCTTGATGTCAATGGAGATTCCAAAGAGAAAAGAACAATTCCTTTTTCCAGAAGATGGAGAAAAAGGCAATAGGAGGTGTAAACCCTCAGTGTTACAACTCACCCTCCATTGAAGACACTGGGGTAGTTTTACATATTGTTTACATATTCCAGTAGCTTCTTTAGCAAGAGTCCTGGTAGTTTAGTGATTAAGCATACAACTGCAAACCAAGAGGTTAGCCATTCAAACCCACTCAACACTCCTGCAGGAGGAAGATTTGTTGTTGATCTGTTCCTGTAATGATTATAACCTAGAAAAACCTATGGATCATTATGCTCTATTGTATGGGATTGTTATGAGTCAAAACATCTACTCACAAGCAATAATGACCACAGCTCACTTTGAGTTCCTGTCTCTGTGAAATAATGTAGCCAGGATAAGGTTAGGCTGCTGGTTAGAGTCCTATTCATCTTCTCTCCTCCTTTATATATTTCCTCCGCACATGTTTTTATGGAAGCAAA